CCCCCGTCTCGTTGATCCTACTGGTACTGTATATAGCACAATAACACGTGTAAAATGCGCTATCCAAAACAACCGAGCTTTGTGTGTGTGATGATTCAGGATTTTCCCCCACAGATCTTAGGAAGGTAAAATAGTGCACCTATGTGGTTTTGGCAAACATTTTGTGAGTCACGCCCTAGGCAAAGTCTGAGGAAGAACCCGCTTAGTTATTTATGCCGGGAGACGGAATGGATTGCCTCACCAAATGGAGTAACGAATGATGTTAAATAGCCTCAGCTCTAGACCAGTCAGGCTTTGCCACAGAATGGGTTGTAAAGGCACCCTGGGTTTCAGATCTCTCTTGGGTTTCAGCGTGGTGTAAAGAGAATGGGTACCTTGATTTAGCCAGAGGGGATGCTCTGACAGCACTCCAGTGCGCCACTGTACATCCAGGGCTCAGGAAGAAACAACATTGTTGCCTTAGCCACTGAAATAACTCAGAAAATGCTTGCACTCAGTGTGTGCAATTCATTCACCGGAAGAGCCCCTCGGCCCATCGTTCAGAACTTATTGATTGACTTGCACCCTGTTCTGATAACCTTGCTTACCTGAGTTTCTCCGACTGCAACAGATGAGACACAGCATGTCGGAGGAGAAGGAAGCTGTTAGGTGGAGGCCGGCTGCCACTGGTTCAAGCACAGATCACACGGGAGGAAAGATCCTGTCACAGTTAGGGCCTGTCTGGCCATTGGTGCTCGTTACGCTGACTGAGACATGAACGATGTTCAAGTGTGTCGGGGTATTTCCTTCCAGGGTGTCATTAAGTACTGCCCAGACGAGCCATGTCCCACGAGCTGTTAATAAGTGTCCCACAAACGAGGTCAGCTACATTGTGGGAATACTGTGTGCACAGCGCACACGAAGAAATTAATGCTTCTCAAAGACCTTCACAACTTAAAAAACAAATTTAATCGTTTTATTGACATGTAATTCACCTATCTTACAGTTCAGTAGTATAAGCATATTAAGAGCGGTGCACAATTTTTTTAATTTAATTTTTTCTAAACCTACTTGACCCTAGCGTCACTCCCCCTCCCCCACATCACTATCTAATGGAACGGGGTGAGGGACTTGAGGCTACTATGATTTATACTTTTTTTTTTTTAATCAAGTTCAAAACAAAAAGCCACCATCGTGTTTCAAGGTATTTGCTCTCCTGAAATATCCCATTTCTTTTTCTTTTTTTTTAACCTTTTATTAGGGGCTCATACAACTGTTATCGCAATCCATACACACATCAATTGTGTAAAGCGCATTTGTACATCATTCTCAAAACATTTTCTCTCCACTTAAACCCCTGAATGTCCCACTTCTTGAGGGTGTCGGGTGGTGGCATTTTCTGCCCGTGCCATTTTTCACAAGTCACCCGGCAGAAATTGTGTCTTGTGGAGCGTCCCCGTCTCGGCGGCGGAGCCTGTCACTCAGCATGGTGTGCTCTGCTTTCAGGGCGCTCGATGACATCAGTGAGAGCATCCGAGAACTCCAGTTTTACCGAAGTAGCATCTTCAAGAAAAAGACAGACGAAAAGAAGAGGAAACTCATAGAAAATGGAGAGAACGAGAAGACCGTGAGTTGATGCCAGTTCCCACGCTGCCGCCACGGGTTTCTCTGGACGCAACTCCCGGCTACCTTTTCTCTGATGATGCTGTTCACCCCGCTGCTCGGCAGAGCTCGTGCTTTCAGTTAACGTACACCGGAGACGATGACTCCCACAGGCAGCCCCAGAATCACTGTTTTCCTGTCTGTGCTGATGCCATTGATAAGTGAAGGAGCTTCTTTGTAAGTACCAGGCCCTATCCACCCCTTGGTACAGAACTGCATTTGCTTTTAGACGATTTCTTTTGTTTAAAAAAATACTAAAAAATAAATAAAGCTAGTTCTATTGAAATGCAAAGCTTTTCGGTATCAATTCTTTAGTAGTTTTATTGGAGAAAAGTACCCTTTTTTCTTTTTTTAAGATGGCATGGCTAATATTTAAACTCCCACTGAACCCACTCGTTGAATTGAATGCAGTTCATAGCCTACAGGGCAGATTAAATGTCCCTTTAGAGGCTCAGAGACTATCATTACAGGAGCAGACAACCTCATCTTTCTCCTGAGCAGCAGCTGGTGGGTTTGAACTGCAAACCTGTGACTAGCAGCCCAACTGTTTAATCCACTAAACCATCAGGGCTCCGTGGTGGATTAGGAGTGGGTTTCATTTCTTACATTAAACAGGAAGTGAACTTGTTCTGCTTTGCTTTACAGCCAAGGATAAGCTATCCGGAGTTGGACTCAAGGCAGCAGCTTTGGGTTTGTTAATAGTTACGGAACTAAGAGAGCCGTGGCCTGGGCTACTTTGCACTGTAGCCCATCTCACAGGGACTGGGAGCCACTGGGATTCCTTCGGAAAGTAATACGGTGTATGAAGTAGTTCTTCTGTGCAAGGCAGCTACTGCTAGGTTTTCCAAGCTTTAGTAGCTGCTCCTCCAGGCCTTGTGCTCAGCAGGTAGCTGAGAAAGACTGCAGTTTGAGAGGCTTACCCCGAGAGGTTAGAAGGGTTCCGTTGAGGCCTTCCCCACAGTCCACAGCGAGTCCTCGGCCAGAAGGCACATCGAATCACATGTCCTTCTCTTCTTGTCGTCACTTGCCCCTAGCTGAAAAATGCTCTCTGTCTTAGTTATATGTGGCCGCTACAACAATGCCATGTATGGGGACTGGTATTTTACAAATGATTTAATTGGGGGCTCTTACAGCTCTTCATCCATCCATCCATCCATCCATCAATCCATCCATCCATCCATCCATCCATCCATCCATCCATCCATCCATCCATCGTGTCAAGCACATTTGTACATATGTTGCCATCACGTTTTCAAAACAGTTTCTGCTTGGGCCCTCAATATCCGCTCATTTCTACCCTCCCTCCCTCATGAACCCTTGATATTAAAAAAAAAAATCATATTGGGGGCTCATACAACTCTTACACAATCCATACATACATTCATTTTGTCAAACACATTTGTTGACATCATTCTCAAAACATTTGCTTTCTACTTGAGCCCCTAGTATCAGCTCATCCCCCCCGCTCCCCCATGAACTCTTGATAATTTATAAATTACTATTATTTTGTAATGTCTTAACACTGTCTGATGTCTCCTTTCACCCACTTTTCTGTTGTCTGTCCCCCAGGGAGGGGGTTGTAATCAGTTCCCCCTTTCCACCCCACCCTCCCTCCACCCTCCAGGTATCGCCACTCTCACCACTGGTCCGGAAGGGATGTCCTGGATTCCCTGTGTTTCCAGTTCATATCTGTACCAGTGTACATCCTCTGGTCTAGCTGAACCCTTGATAATTAAAAAAATTTTTTCCCCATGTCTTAAACTGACCGCTGTCTCCCTTCACCCACTTTTCTGTTGTTCTTCCCCCAGGGAAGGGGTTATATATAGATCATTGTGATCAGTTCCCCCTTTCCACACACACCCTTAGCCCCCCCCCCCCCCCCCCCCCCCCCCCCCGCATCTTTCTCTTACCTTCCTGGTATCGCTAGCTACTCTCGGTACTGGGATTGGTTTTAACAGGAATTACTCTGAGCTTAGGAGGCTAGAAGTTTGAATGCAGGGTTCTGGCTCTAGGAAAAAGTTTCTCACCTCAGTTTAGGAGGAAGGTCTTTGTTTCCTCCCAACGTCGTTGCACTCAGTTTTCCTTGGCATTCTCCGGGCGTATCTTGTCAGTTTCCCTGTGGGTCTAGCAGGCTCTCTGCACAGGGACCCCGTCCAGAGGATGTTCTCCTAGCTCATCTTACTCAGTACTGATGTCTTCCTCTCCCTGCTCTACCGCTCTCCTTTTCTCTCTCATAAGATAGGAGATAACAGGAGCCGTAGTGGCTTGGTGGGTCCCTGGTTGGTCTGCTAACCACATGGCTGTCAGTTTGAAACCAGGAACTGCTACTCCAGAGAAAGATAAGGCTGTGGAGTAGTGTCTCAGAAACCCACTGGGGCAGTTCTAGTCTGTCCAATAGGGTCACTGTAAGTCGAAATTGATAGCAGTGAGTTTAGTTTGGAAGATACAAGGTCATGTGTAGGGAAACTTCCCCTTACACAGAATCCAGGGCTGCGATCTGAGCGAGGAGCAGTCGGCAGATCATATCTTATCACACCATGGGGATGATTCTATCACTGCCAAATCACGGCATCCTGGCACAACCAAGTTCACGAATATTTGGGGGTGAAGGTGGGCACATAATTCAATCCATGACACCCCCTTAAGACAAAAACATCAGAATTGGGGTAGGCCCACTCGTGACCTGCTACATTAAGACTCCTGAACTAGAACCCTGGTGATTTAAAATTACATTCCTCCTCAGCTGTAGTTCTACGCCATGGTACTGCAGGTAAGAATAATCTCAGTAAAGCCCACTGAAGCTGGAACCCGTATCAGGCAGAAATGTGTCACGGAAGGAAAACAATAGTTCTCATTAAAACTTGGAGTAGAAACATGTGAACGGTGCACCCTGTCAAAGGTGGAAAACTTTCCAGACCTGGAAAAACGGCAGTCCAGTGGTGGGCTGGCTTGCAAAGGGTTCACTGGGCTCACAAGTCTGGGGAATGAATGGATGGAAAGCATTCCTCAACTGACTGCTGAATAGTGAGCCTGCTGTTTTTTTGGGATGACACAGGGCTCAGCTCACGCTCCAGCCTTGGTGGTTCAGAGAGGCAGGAATGGGCAGCAGCTACGAACAGAGTGAGACCGAAGTCCGAGATCCAATCCAAGCACCATGACATTCTAAGCTAACTCACCAACTGCTACAACCTGATAAATTCTCTCAGCCTCAGTTTCCGTACTGGAAAGCGAGAATAATAATGGTACCCAACCAACCCAAAGGGTTGTTGTGAAGGTAAATTAAATACGAGTCATGTACTTCTGCGGACTTGGTATACAGAGCTAAGTACCATCATTAATGCGGGAGATTTGAGTCTGTCCAAGGTCTTAGGATCCTCTGAGCTATTGGTCATCAAATCAGTGTTCACTTAGTGCTTGTGGTAAAATAATAGCAAGGAACATTATAAACTCCGGCAGCTATGTTTTTGACCAGTCATACTGTTTCCAACTAACATTTGGCAAGATCATCTTTTCTGTACTTGACTCTGAGGAATGTTATACATACGAGTGGGAGGATAGGAAAACACTGGGCTTCAGGAAGCGTTTGTCCCAAGTCAGTGGGTACACCTCTCCATTGCCATAGGATTCTTGCCGGCCAGCGGGTCTCATCACTTTACTGTTTACAGCCACACTGTTGAGTTTGCTTAGACCAAAGCTCTGGGTGTTCATTTTAAACCTCTGGTCCCATTCTGGGTAGCATGGTAGGTTACCAGATTTGTTAAGTGCAAGGACAGCAGTTCAAACCCACCAGTTGCACAGAGGGAGAAAGAAGCGGGGCCCTCATAAAGATTTGCAGGCATGGAAACCCTTGGTAGGGCCGCCGTGACAGTGGGAGGCTCCCACTTTGTATATTCATGATCTTGCAGATGGCTTTTAGTAACATCATGCGGCAGATGGCCTGGGAGACAAGCAAATCCAGCCTGGTGCAGGTGTGTGTGAAGCTATGGTAGTTGTGGGATGCGTTCATTATGATTCACTCTGCTTAACAAGGGGCTTACCAATTTGGGGTGCTGGTATTGAGAGTTCCACAGGGGATTCCTGAAGCTGTGAGGTCATTTCTGTGAAGCGAATTGCCATGCGAAGGGCTGAAGTGTATGTGGCTTTCCTCTTAAAAATGGTCAGTGTGTGCGTTTTAGCCGGACTTGCCATTCTAATACTCTCAGGTGTTCTGTTTTAAACTTTTGTATTGTGACTTAGGTGAAGGCAGATGGAGCAGAGCATCTGATGCAGTCTCCTCAATGTACCATCGGTTATCCCACTCCCTCCCTGTGCTTCCTGTGTCCATTCTGCCTGCTTTCCTAACCCACACAACTCTGTCCTGGGAAATGCTACCCTTGTTGATCTTAGACAGCTGAGTATTCCAACATGGGGTCCATTCAGTTCCAGACCTGTAGGATGACTAGGGACCGGGGTCTTGGGTGTCCGACCGGCCCCTTCCTGATCAGTAAGCCTGGTTTCTCTCTTGTGATTTTGAGTGCTGTTTCTCATTTTCCGCCCACTCTGTCTAGGACCTTCTAATGTGGTCCTTTTCAGAGCAGTTGGTTACCGTAGCTGGGCACCATCTAGTTCTGGTCTCAGAGTTGTTTGCATGGTCCACTGGTTTATTTTTCCATATTTCTGGATTTCTGTCACTATTTCCTCTGGACAAGGAGAAATCAGTAACAACACATTAAATCGTTGTTTATGCTCTTTTAAGATCCCACTCGCTACTTGCCAAGGTAAGATGCAGAACATTGTCTTTCTGAACTGCTCTCAGGCTGTGGAAAACCGAGCCCTTGGCAGTGTGTATCTGGCTTAATCTGCACGCTCCAACCGCGGGCCTGGAAGAAGGGCTCTCCTTAGACAAAGATCTCCACAGCTCTGAGATAGAGATGTCTTCAAGTACACATCCCTCAGGCTGAGGAGCACCCCCACAATAGCTCTCCATACAGGTGCTGCCATAGAAGGTGTTCCATACTTGGCCCGGCTGCTCACTGTGTGTCCAGAGGCTATCTGTCTTGTAAGAGTAATCAGATCCTCTTGTCCGTCCCATACAAAAGTGCAGCTGACTCCCTTCTGCTGGCGCCTTCTGATACTGACCATAGATTGTTCCCCTGGGGAGGGCTCAAGGACATACAAAGTTAAGCTGCTGACTCTATTACCTGTTCACTCTATGATGTGTATGCCTGCTGAAAAGGCTTGGAAGCCCCATGGTTATATATACCTATTGGAAAATACATGAGCTCTCTTGATCCGGACATTGGGAGGAGCCCC